CAACAGTAAATATCTATCATCTATCTATCTATCTATCTATCTATCTATCTATCTATCTATCTATCGTCTCTATTTGCTTCATAAGTTCTGTTCCTTTAGGGAAAACCCTAATTCACCCTGTTCCCTTTTTTTTGTATGGGGACAGAGGAACAAATCCAGACACTTCTGCATGTTAGATAAGTGCTCACATCTTCAGCTCTTCACTTAAAAAAAATTTATTTTTGTATATATGGTGGGTATATGCACAAGAGTGCAGGTGGCCACGAGGACCAGAAGAGAGTGTATGATTCACTGGAACTGGAGCTACAGTTGGTTGTTGTGGTGGTTTGAAAGAAAATGGCCCCCAAAGGAAGTGGCATTATTAGGAGGTGTGGCCTTTTTGGAGGAAGTGTGTCACTGTGGGGCAGGCTTTGAGGTCTCTCTTATCTCAAGCTTCAGTGTGACAGTCAGTTGACTTCCTGTTGCCTCTGAGTCAAGATGTAGGCCTCTCAGCTCCAGAACCACATCTGCCTGCATGCTGCCATGTTACCCATCCTGATGATAATGGACTGAACCTCTGAAACTGTAAGCGAGCCACCTCAATTAAATGTTTTCCTTTACAAGAGTTGCCGTGGTCATGGTGTCTCTTCACAGCAATTAAAAACCCTAAGACAGTTGTGAATCATCAGATGTGGGTGCTGGGAATCAAACTTGTATCCTCTTGAAGAGCAACAAATGTTCTTTAACAACAAAGCCATCATTCTAGCCCTGCCTCTTACTTAAACAAAACAATAAACAAACAAACAAAAAACCAACCAAAATTTTTTTAGATGGTCTCACTATGTATCTCTGGCTAGCCCGGATCTGCCTATGTAGACCAGGCTGGCTGCAAACTCACAGAGATCCCACTGTTTCTGCCTCCTGAGCACTGGAATTGAAGACATGCACCACCATGCCTGGCTTTAAAAACCTTTGATTTTTCTTTTAATTATTTGTGTGTATGATGTGTACATGTGGGTACCCAGTTACTGTGGTGCTCTAGTGGACGTCAGAAGGCAGCTTTGTAGGGTCACATCTCACCTTCCACCTTTCCTTGGGTAGAACTGAACTCTCTGTAGAGCAGGCTGGCCTTGAACTCACAGAGATCCCCCTGCCTCTCCCTCTGCTGGGATCAAAGGCATGTGCCACCATCCCCCTGCTCCCAACTCTTTGTTTTCCTTTTTCTTTCTCGAGTTAGGACTCTTACTATGCCTACTTAGGGAGTTTGAGGCCATCTTGGCTACGTAAGGCTTTGTCTCAAACAAGTAGAAAAAAATTACCATTAACAATTGTAGTTGTTTGAAAGAGAATGTCTCCCATAGGCTCAGGGGTTTGAACACATGGTCCCCAGCTGGTGGCTGTTTGGAGAGGTCATGGGGACATGAGGCTTTGCTGGAGGAAAGATGTCATTGGGGGTGGGCTTTGAAAGTTTGAGGCCTCACCCCATCTCTAGCTCACTCTCTTGCTTCTAGCTTGGGGTTGGGACATGATCTCTCAGCTTCCTGATTCAGCTGCCATGCCTGCCTGCTGCTATGATTTTTTTTTTTTTACCATGATGGACTCTCATCCCATGGGAAACATAAGTCCAAATAAACTCTTTCTTTTGTAAGTTGTTTTTGGTCATGTGTTTTATTACAGCAACAAAAACATAACCAATCAACATTGACAGGCCTTTATATACATATATATTAAAATTTTATTATTTTATTATGTGTATGAGTGTTTTGCTTGTGCAAAACAGCTGTGCAACTGTATCTTTCCTGGTGCCTGTGAAGGGTCCCTGGAACTGGCGTTATAGATGGCTGTGATCAGTCATGTAGGTGCTGGAAATCAAACCTGGGTCCTCTGGAGGAGTAGCCTGTGCTCTTAGACAATTGAGCCATCTCCCCAGCCCATATATATTAATATCAAATATATCATACAAATTAATACACAATATACTATACAATATTAAGTATATCATATATCATGTAATAGCAAATACATTATTACTGGGGTCCAGCCTCAGCTCAGGTTCAGGTCCTGAGATGGGGAAGGGGTTTTGTTGCAAAGAAATGAACTGTCCGACCACCAGATGAGTTTCACACAAGTGACCAGCCCCAAATAGCTCCAGCTGTCTTTATTTATACATCAAAACCAAGCGTTTTTTCCACACTAATAAGTTTTTCCCATCCCCCAATGTTAACCTCTGGCAAAACCAACTATGTCAAATATGTTTTTTTCCCTACTTTTATATCAAAACATCTTTAAACACAAACCAACACTTATCATTTTGCTAGCTTGGCCAAATATTGAGCCATGTACATCCTGTCTTTACAAAACTAAAAGGTGATAAACATAGGTACACATTTTCAAGAACAACAATCTCATTCAAAACGTATTTACAGAAATAGGGGTGATCTGCCTCCTGTCTGCACTGAATCAGAACAGATCCTGGGGTCAGATCCCCTGGAGCTTCAGTTATAGAGAACCATCTTTCTAGCCCCTTTCACGTGTTTTTTTTTTAGTAAGCAAAGTAATAGGTTTCGTTATGACATTTTCATACATACCTTGTTTTGGTTGACTGTCCTCCCCCATTCATTTCTGCAATTCCCACCTCTTCAAAATGTACCCTCTTACCCACTTCCAGCTTAACGCCTCTACTTCTACCTCTTAAACCAATTTTTTTTTGTATAGGTATGGGTATTTTTTCTGCATGTATTTCTGGGCATTATATGCATGTCTGGTGCCCATGGAGGCTAAAAGAGGGTGTCAGGTATCTTTGGAGCTGAAGTTACAGACAGTTGTGGGCCACCATGTATGTGTTAGGAATTAAACCAGGGCTCTTAACCAGTGAGCCATCTCTCCAGCCCAACTCCTATTTCCTTAAAACCTCTCCTCCCACCCCATTCATGGTCCCCTTTCTAGGTTCATGACTTACACACACACACACACACACACACACACACACACACACACACACACAGCTAGGATCCACATATAAAACAGTAGCTTTGTCTTTTGTTTTGTTCTGAAATCTGTATCGATGGCTGGCTTTGAACTCACAGAGATCCACCTATATTTGCCTCCTGAGTGCTGGATTAAAGGTGAATGCCTCTATGCCTGACCTAGTTTTACTCTGAATTATTCCAAAAATAGAAAGTACACAAGTTGCTAAATTGTCTCTAAAAAAGTAAGCTATTTGGGCCAGCAAGCTGGCTCAGTGGGTGAAAGATGCTGATTTCCATTGCTGACTTCCATTCCTGGAACCTATGAGAAGAGAACCGACTCCTGAAAGTTCTCCTCTGACCTCCATACATTGCATGTACATGCCTGCTCTTCCTGTCACACACATGCCCATGCACATGCACACACCACCACCACTACCACTAAAAATCGGAAAAAAAATATTAGGACCTCACATTATCTAAAATTTCATGAAACCCAAATATTCTTTACAAATACAGACTTCCTCCTACAAACTGATCATTGTATACAGAGAAGATGGAAGAGAACAGCAAAAGAGTTGCCAATTCAACATATCTGTAAGCTAAATTTGCTAACATACAGATACAATTTTATTATTTATTTATAGACAGGGATTCACTATGTGGTTGAGGCTGGCCTCCAAGAGCTCTGATTAATACAGCAGTTTTCAAGTACACAGCTTCCCTTGAGACACTTCCTCAGAATTCAAAAGAGTAGTCTTGAGTGACTTTTCTTCTCAGTGTCCTATATTTCACTTATTTATTCATTCAAGAATGAGGTATTTATTGTGCTCTGAGATGCTGGTGATACAAATTAGTACAATCCAGTAGTTCAGGCTGGTTTTGAACTCACTATATATACCAGACTGGCCTCCAACTCTTGATCCTCCTGCTTCAGTCTCTGGAGTGTGTTGGGATTGCAGGAATGTCTATGAATAACTTTTTAAGATTCATATTTTTGGGGGCTGGAGAGATGGCTCAGAGGTTAAGAGCACTAACTGCTCTTCCAGAGGTCCTGAGTTCAATTCCCAGCAACCACATGGTGGCTCACAACCATCTGTAATGAGATCTGGTGCCCTCTTCTGGCCTGAAGTCATACATGCTGTATACATAATAAATAAATCTTTTAAAAAAAAAAAAAAAAAAAAAAAAAAAAAAAAAAAAGATTCATATTTTTATTATTTAGTTGTATTTATGTGCATGTGAGTGTGAGTGCCTGCAGAGACCAGAAGAGGGCACCAAATCTGCTGGAGTTGGAGTTAAAGGCAATTTGAGCCATATCAAGTAGGTGCTAGCAACTGAATTCTGGTCCTCAGAGCAGCAAGTGCCCTTATGGGTGAGGCCTCTTCAGCTTCCAAAAAACTTACAAAAACAACAACAACAAAAAGTGCAGCAGTGGAGACCGAACTTAGAGACTTGAGTGTACTAGGCAAGTACTCAGCCACCAAACTGTATTCTCAGCCCTAGTGAATAATTATTGGAAAAAAAAAATGCCTGTAAATTAGTGTTCACAGTAACTCCCCAAAGGCCACCCAATGAAAACTCAGTGATACCCAGAAAAGCCTTGAGGTACAATTTTAGAATGCATGTTATCGGTATTACTTTGTAAAGTAGGAAAGGCTGATTTATTTGGTAAATTCCAAGAAATAGAAAACTTAACACTTGAGGTAGAGGATGAAGCTCTGTTGGCAAACTTCTTGAATAACATACACTAATACCCTTGTATACTCTATTAATCCCAACATGGGCATGCCTGTTATCCCAATACTTCAGAGGAGGAGGCAGGAGACTCAGAAGTTCAGAGTTAACCCTTGGCAGCCTAGGGAGTTAGAGGCCAGCCTGGGCTACATAAGATCCTGCCTGGACTACAAAATACCCTGACTCAATGGGGAACACACACACACACACACACACACACACACACACACACACACACTCCTCCCGCGCTCCAAACCCCAAACAAGCCACATTAGATGGAGGGGGAAAGGAAACAAAGAAAATTCAAAAGACTCAGAATTTACAGAAAGACCATTTTTATTTTATTTTGGAGACAGGGTTTCATGTATCCCAGGCTGGCTTCGAATTTACTATGTAGCGGAGGCTGGCCTTGAACCTCTCGTCTCCATCTCCCAAGCACTGAGATGACAGGCGGGCACCATCTCACGGTGCTGGAGATGGATTCCAGGGCTTCCTGCCTAGTGCATGCTAGGCAGGGGCTTTACAAACTGAGCCCTGGGTGGTGGTGGGGGTTGTGCCTTTATTCTAAAAACACAACAGAATCAACGGCCGAGGTGTCTGCACGGTGTCCAGAGGCACACAAAGACAGGTCCACAAAAAGGTGTCTGGAGACGGCAGTGACTGAAGGGACCAGACGGATCATTTTTCCTGGGTTGGCAGATTATGCAACATGGCTAAGGGCACCGCGGGCGTGAGGGAGAGGCCCGACAGAAAAGCTTTTGTCAGCAGCATCTCCATGGGGCGTCCCCACCCCCATCCTCGCCCCACCGGTCCGCCATCAACTGCGGCGCACCCGGGCCTGGTCCCGCCCCTCACCCCGCCCCCGCGCTGCCTGCCCTTCAAGGCCTCGCTTCTGACCTCGACCTCTCGGCTCTTTTCCAGTCTCTACTCCCCTTACGAGCCCACCCGAAGAAGGGTGCAACTGCCCAGACGCGGGAACAAACAAGCTTTTCTCCCTGGCCTGAAGGGATCCAACGTGGCCGATAACTCCGAGCCGGAAGCGGAAGTGACGTCACGCCGACTGCCCCCCTTTTTTTTTCCTCGGAGCTCTGAGACCTTCTCGGCGTTTGTCCGAGGGCTCTCCACTCAGCTCGGTGAGGATTCGGTGAGGGGGTGCGGGGGCCGGCACCGGGAGGGAGAGGACTAGGTAGGCCTCGGCGGGGCGGGCCGAGCTCTGCTCGCGGGGCCGCGCGTCCTCCGGGTTCTGCAGCCTTTCCAGGTGCCGCGGCCCCGAGTGCGCATCACGACTCAGCCCGGAGCTGTTTGCATCCACCTTTCTTCTAAAGCCCGTGCAAAGTAACCTTTGTGGAATTGTTCTCCCCAGCCCCCCTCCCAGAAAGAATAGACTTTCCGCCATTGGCATCACATCGAGACGCTGCATCTTCCATTCTCGGACCGGGCGATTCTGTTTGCTGCAGCCGAGCTTTGGCCGAAAGGTGGGTGAGGACAGCCCTTTCCTCGTTTTTTTCTTTGTGTGTGGGTGTATGGGTGTGTGTGTGTGGAAAGGAATGTTTTATCCGAAAATTTAGCTTTCGTGGGACATCTGTTTACCTGAGACACATTGCATTCTGATTTTTTAAAAAAGATAGCTTTTTTTATACCCTTAGCAGGATGCGTCTATCTGTATGTACATATAAACGTACATAGACCCTACACGGGTCCCTTTGTGTCGAAGAAAAGTAAGGATACCAAGTTACTCTCATTTGATGCTGGGGATGCAACTCGGGACCTCATGATGCTAAGTACTCTCCTGCTGAGCTACACCCCAGCCCAAATAGTTAGCTATTGTCTGAACGTTGGAGGCCTGTGCCTTCTTGCAGACTTTAAAAAATGGAGGCTTTGTTAGGTTAGTACTGATTGGCTTTTCCCAAGGGAAAGTAAAATAACGTTTTATGGTGAACTATTTGAAATAAGTTGAGAGTTTCAGGCATGATACTTTACAGAATGGGTAATACATCTTCTAAAAAATTAAGATATTCACCCAGTAAGACCTTAATAGTAAAGTTTCAACCAAGATAACTAAAAACAATAATGTTATCTAACAGCTTCTTTGTGTGAAATCAGAATTCTTCATTGTTATAAAATTGAGTGTTTTTGCATCTAAGATCTCTTCAAAGTTTCTTTGTTTTGTTTTTGTGATAGTGGCAATTGAATCTAGGGCTTTGTGCTTGTTGGGTAAGCTCTCTACCACTAAGCTATAAGCCCAGACCTCTTTAAGACATTTTTGTTGTTGTTTTTTTTTAACATATTTAAAAAAATTTGATATTTATGTATGGGGTGTGGGCTTATACCTTCGAGTGCACTGCTCTGGGACATCAGAAAAGGGCATGGGGTCCTTGGAGCTGGAGCCACAGGAGGTTGTGAGCCACCTGGTGTGGTGTTGGGAACCAGATCTCAGGTTCTGTAAGAGCAGTACCTACTGTTAACCGCCAAGCCGTTCATCACTTCAGTTCCCTCTTTAAGGTTCTTACATGAAAATTTCAGATGTCTTTTAGAATCTTTGAACCTAGAGCAGTCGTGTTGTTTGTTATACTAACTTTTTCAGGAGGCATTTCCCCCCATTTTTGTGTATATTTTTTTTTTTTTGGTTTTTGAGACAGGGTTTCTCTGTGTAGCTTTGCGCCTCTCCTGGAACTCACTTGGTAGCCCAGGCTGGCCTCGAACTCACAGAGATCCGCCTGGCTCTGCCTCCCGAGTGCTGGGATTAAAGGCGTGCGCCACCACCGCCCGGCTTTTGTGTATATTTTGATGGCTTGTTTTTATTGGCATTTTTGTCCATTTAAAATTTTTCCCATTAAAAATTTTTTTTTTTTTCTGTAGACTTTGATGCTTTGATGGCTGAGTGAGTGAAGTGGTAGAGCTCTTACCTGGAATATTTGAGGCCTTGGGTTTCATCCTCAGCTCTGCAAAGGAAAGGAGAGGTAGTGAAAGAAATCCAGCCTAAGCTTGTTCTTAAAACCCAGAATAAATATATTACAAATTGACCAGAGTTTTGGAAGTTAATATACTCTATTGAGTTACTGAGTTAATACATTCTATTGGTATATGAGAATACATGAAGGAAATAAAAGTGAGTGTGTGTGTGTGTGTGTGTGTGTGTGTGTGTGTGTGTGTTGTGTGTGTGTGTGTGTGTGTGAGAGAGAGAGAGAGAGAGAGAGAGAGAGAGAGAGAGAGAGAGAGAGAGACAGAAAGACTGGAGGGGGTGCTGAACCTACAGCATTGGACATGGTAAGTGCTCTGTCATTGAGTTACACCCCTAGTCTTTTTACTTAACTTCTTAAGCTACATTTTACTCTGTCCACGTGAGTGCATGTGTGTTCTGTGGTGTGTGTGAGGAGGTCAGAGGACAACCTACTGGAGTCCATTCTTTTCTTCCATCGTGTGGGTCCTGGGACTAGAACTCAGGGAACTTTAGGTCTTTGGGCTTGGTGGCAAATACCTTTATACATTCAGCCATCTCTCTGGGCTTCGTGCTTCTCTTCCTCCTTTTCTTCCTTCTCCTCCTCTTATTCTTCTCCCTCCTAGCATAATGGTTCCATATACTCTTTAATTTGAATATATTCATTGTACAAAATAATGGGTTTCATTATGACATTTTAATACATTCATATAATGTATTTTGATCATATTCATTCTCAAGAGAAGTGAGTTCTAAGTTGAGACTAAATGACAGGGTATAGGAATAACCATGTTGAAAGAGAAGGATGTGGGAGGTAGAGAGAGCATGGTAAGCAGTGACTAATTATATTTGTACAGTGCAAGAGGAGAGCCTCAAGAGTTAATCCAAGGCTTGACAGTAATTTCACTCATTTTCTTTGGTGGTACACAAACTCTTATCCCAGCAATTGGGTGGTAGACACAGAGGCAGGAGGATTCCTGCCAGTTTGAGGCCAGTCAAAGCTATATAGCAAGACCCTATCTAAATAAACAAGGGGGCTCAGTGATTAAGAATACTGGTTGCTCTTGCAGAGGACCTGGGTTCGGTTTCTAGCACTCACATGGCACCTTACAACCATCTGTAACTCTGGTTCCAGGGGAATCTAGTGCCCTCTTCTGGTCTCCATGGGCACCAGGCATGCAAGTGGTGCACAGATATAACATGCAAAACACTCATATCTATAAAATAAAATAATCACAATAGCAAGACAAAACAGGATAGAAAATTCACCTATGCTAATTATTAATCTTAGGAAATGTTTTTGTTCCTGAACAGTCAGAGCCTCTTTGAGTGGTTTTTAGACTGCCTTGGGTTTCCCATATCCAAACTAGGACTCAGTTTCCCTGGGGGAATGTTCTAGTTCTTACAGGAGGAACTGGTCCCTTGTGACTGCTTAACAGATCCTGACATGAGTTGGAACCACTCCAGGGATAATGACCAGAAGGCTCCCCCGCCAGTATGGTATAGCTGAAAATATCAAGGGATACTTTGGCTTGACAACATTCATGTTTTCTTCTATATTTGCCCTTTAAGGGACATAGATTAAAAATTGATGGTGTCAGAGGAGTCAAAAAAAATGAGAGAAAGCTAGGCATGGTAGTGAACACCTGTAATCCCAGTATTTCGGAGGTGAAGCAGGAGGATCTTGAGTTCTAGGCCAACCTGAGTGACATACTGAGTTCCAAGTAAACCTAAGCTACATGAGACCGTGTCTCAGAAAACCCAACCAACTAAACAGAAAAATTAATGAGAAGTTGTTACCATGCAGTTAGTAAGGCTGTACGTATAACGCTGGTGACAGAAGTTAGTGGAGAAATAATTTGAACTATTAGTGTCTGCTAAGTGTTTGATGTGAATGTTCTGATATTATAGTATTAGTATAAAGGTAAAAGTTATTTCAATATTGTTTAAATGTGAATATTATTGAAAGTATTCACAGTTATTATCTAAAATTGTATTCAGTTAGAAACAACTGAGGGCTGGGGATATGGTTCAGCTGGCAGAGTGCTTGCCTAGTATGTAGAAAGCCCTGGGTTCTAGCTCTGGTTCTGCATACACTTGACTATAGCATACATTCCTGTAATTCTGGTACTTAGTAGGTAGAGACAGGAGACTCATCTTACAGTAAATTGGAGGGATAAATCAATGCTAGATACCACACACAGATGAATTTCTCTGCCATCTTCTCCTTTTCCTACCCTTGGAATCCAGGGCCTTGTGAATGCTAAACAAGTGCTGTACCACTGAGCTGCATTTCTGTCCTCCACACAAGCATGCCTGCCCCTGTCAAATCACGGATTTGACTTCATCAGAAAACACTTGTTTAAAAAAAATAAAAGAAGAACATGCGTATACTTATTAATTAGTGCCTAACAAGTTTTAACACATTTACTGGCTTAACATGTCACATGACTGAGTATGTTGATAGACACGTCATAGTACCTGGAAGATAGGCAGGTGCAACTCAGGGCTAGCCTGAGCTACATAGCAAGTAGCACAGGTGGAAGGGGAAAAAACTAGTGTTGTGTTGCGTAGCATGTGTTGAAGGAGAACTTGAGGCATACTGCAGTCCACAGTGTGGTCGCTCAGCTCTTTTGCATGTATTTGACATTTGTAATAGTAATTAAACAAGTCTATAGTCTAGCTAAGAGAATACAAAGGAAGTTGTAACTCTTCCCCAGAGTGAGGAGAAACAGTCCCCGTAGACATAGACATGATATCACTATCACAAACCATATTCATTAATCCTCATATTTAGACACATTCTGAGTGAATAGTCTTGTTACCCCAAAGATTAAATTAGAGCTGGGACTGGTGACTCAGACCTGTAATCCCAGCTACTGGGAAGAAGGGTAAGAAGATTGAAAAGCCAAGGCCATTAAGGGTTATAAAGTGAGTTCAATGCCAGTCTAGTCAACTTAGTGAGACCTTTTCTCAAAATAAGTAAAAAAGAGGGTTGGCTATCTCAGTGGTAGCAAATGTGAGGCCTTAGGTTCCATCCCCAATACCAGAAAGGGTAGAGGGAGCTGAAT